ACCACGTCGAAAATTTCAGATTTGTGTAGTCTCACCAAAAAAAATTATATCTTGGTGTAGAAATATCGAAATTGCAAATTGTTTGATTTATTGAAAACTAGACTTCAAGATCTAGAACATATCCAAAATTCTCAATCAAACAACTTAAGAATCCTCCCAGATAATATTTTGAAATCAACTTTATATTGCATCATGCTATCAGTTCCAGGTTTGCGCAGTCTCACCAAAAAAGTCATATCTTGGTGTAGGAACGTCGAAACTACAAACCTTTTGATTTCTTGAAAACTAGACTTTAAGATCTAGAACATATCCAAAATTCTCAATCAAACAACTTAAAAATCGTCCCAGATAATATTTTGAAATCAACTTTATATTCTGACACGCTGACGATTTCAGATTGCGCGACTTCACCAAAACTTTTGTATCTTGGTATGGAAGCCTCGAGATCGAAAGATGTCTTACTTGCCATAAATCGGAATTTAAGAGCTATATTCTCACAAATATCTTGGGTTCAAGTCTCACTGAATTTGAAACATAGTGCCAAGCTATCTTTTCCTTATACTTGTGTTTCCTTTTGACGCCTCTCTTCTCTTCCCTTTTTTTTAGGCAGAGGACGGACTTGTAGACCAACGAACTTGAAGGTTTGGCGAACCTGAAGACATAGAGAATCCCTGGACTTCAATGCAAATACTCGACATCCTCCTAAAATCGGCCTATCGAAGATATTAATTTACCATGGAGGGTTGCCCCCTTTAAATCAAATGAGATCAAAGTTCAACAAGAGGATGGCATTTCAGCTTGATCTTACATTCCTTTATACTTCATTCGAACAACAATTGGGACAATATGTATCTTTTGAACCTATGCGAATGAACTCAGAATGAAACTCTAAGCTGCCTACGTACCTCGATGAAGAGGATCAAGTCATACCGTAGTTCAGAATGGGTAGAATTTTTTCTTCTCTTTTTTTTTACGTCCTAACTTTTGCCTAGGCTACCTCTTTCGAGATTTTCAACCTAGCGGGCTCTTTTTTTTTGTTTTTTGTAGGGGCCGTACACAGTTTAGACTCATACGGGCTAGGAGTGTAGCAACATGCAGTTTAGGCTCATGCGTCAAGGAGCGTTGCAACTTCAAGGATAATACTTCTTTAAAAACATGCCATTGATAGGGCCGATTCTCATGCCATCTGCATCAACCAGCTTGTAAGCCCCACTTGAGTAAGCTTCTTGTACGACATATGGCCCATCCCATTTTGAAGTGAACATCCCTACAGGTTTGTGGGAAGTAATTATGGGTCTTCGTACGGCAAGGACTTGATCTCCTACTTGAAAGGATCTCGGGCGAACTCTTTTATTGAAGGCGCGAGATAATCGAGCTTGATAACATTCAAGACTCTGTTGAGCTTCCAATCTCTTTTCATCAAGAGATTCCAACTCTACTAATCGAAGTCGAGCATTTTCTTCATCAGTGATCCCTTCTTGAATAGCCAGTCGTAACGAAGGTATTTGACGCTCAAGTGGCAAGATGGCTTCGACTCCATAAATGAGTGAATAAGGAGTAGCCTGTGTTGGCGTGCGGTGAGTCGTCCTATATGCCCATAGAGCTTCTTCCATACGGTCATTCTAATCTCGTTTGGATTTGGAGACGACTTTTTTTAACAAGTTGCATAGAGTCTTGTTGAATGTCTCAGCTAGACCATTGGCGGCAGCATTGTACATCGAAGAGTTACGTTGCTTGAAGCCAAAGAGATCACAAATCTTGTTCATCAGCCTATTGTCGAATGGCTTTCCATTATCCGTTATTATGTAACAAGGAATGCCAAAGCGATAAATAATGTTTATTCGGATGAAACTTACAACATTTTCCTTCTTTACTTCCTTAAGAGCAACAACTTCAGCCCATTTTGAGAAGTAGTCAGTTGCAGCCAAGATGTATAGGTGCCCACCAGAGGACTTTGGTAGTAGTCCAACAACATCCAATCCCCAAGCATCAAACGGCCAGGATGCAACAGTTGGGTGCAACACTTCAGGAGGTTGATGAATAAAATTTGCATGGAATTGACAAGCCTTGCATCTTCGAGCATAGTCCAAGAAATCTTTTACCATCGTTGGCCAATAGTATCCCATCCTTTTTATATGGAAGTGGACCTTTGGTCCAGACTGGTGTGACCCACATGCCCCAGAATGCGCTTTTTGTAAAGCTTGGAGTGCTTCATATTCCCCTAAGCATCGCAAGAGTACTCCCTCAAATGATCTTCTGTATAGGGTATCTTTGTAGTAAAGGAAGCGAGGTGCACGATGACGGATTTCAGTTCTTCTCCGCGGATTTTCTGGAAGTATCCCGTAGCACAAGTAGTCGATAATGGGTTGTCTCCATTCTTCTTTCTCGACTTCAGAAAGAACAACAAGATGCTTGAGTTCATTTTCTTCACCTTCAGTCTCATTTGGCAGCGGCACTACCCATTTTTGGCAGACAGTAACTTGCGCTTGATCAGGCAGGGTTAAAGATGAAGCTAGGGCAGCTAAAGCATCCACCTTCTTATTTTCTTTCCTTGGCACATGCTGAATAGTCACATCACCGAGCCACCCCATTAACTTTTTAGTGTAATCATGATATGGGCGTAATTCAGGCTTTTTGACCTAGTAACTACCTAAAAGCTGATTGACCACTAACTAAGAGTCACCAAAGACTTGCAATTGCAACCGCTTCATTTCGACAGCCATTTCGAGCCCAAGTATTAGTGCTTGATACTCAGCAATGTTGTTAGAGTAGAGTTGCGTCAACGTAAAAGAGTAGGGCAGAACTTCACCTTGAGAAGTGACAAATACTACACAAGCACCAGCTCCTCCCTGATGTGCAGCACCGTCAAAGTAGATCTTCCATGGAGGCTGAACCTCAATGACCATGGCGTCCTAATCAGGTAATTCGTCAGTTAGCTCCCAATCGTCAGGTATAGGGTGATCTGCCAAGAAGTCCGCTAACGCTTGTCCTTTTATAGCCTTTTGTGGGATGTACACGATTTCAAATTGTTGAAACTGGAGGTACCACCTTGCTAGTCGATCACTAAGGACAGGTTTTAACATCACAAACTTGATGGGATTCGCTCTAGAAACCAAACGAACGACATGAGCTTGAAAGTAGTGCTTCAACTTTTGGATTGAGAAGACTAGCGCCAAACATAACTTTTCAATTGGCGAATAAATCAGCTCATTTGGTGTCATTATCCTGCTCAAGTAGTAAAGGGAGTTTTCTTTCCCTTCACTATTTTCTTGGGCCAGTAGTGCTCCAACAGACCTTTCTTGTGCTGAATTATATAGTATCAGCGGCTTTCCAAGTATAGGTGCTGCCAAAACTGGAGGCTTCATCAAGTAGGATTTAATGCTCTCAAAGGCATTGCTACACGCTTGGTCCCATTTGAAAGGGACACCTTTCTTCATAAGGCGGTTGAATGGTTGGCACCTCCCAGCTAGGTTTGAGATGAATCTCCTAAGGTACGCTAACTTTCCCTGCAGACTTTTCAATTCGTGAATGTCCCGAGGCTCAGGCATTTTCAAGATTTCATCTACTTTGGCTTGATCAATTTCAATCCCTCGATGTCGAACAATGAAACCAAGGAACTTTCCGGAAGTAACCGCAAAGGCGCATTTCAATGGGTTCATCATAAGTTGGTACCTCCGGAGCAACTCAAATACCATTCTCAAGTCTTTCAAGTGGTCGCCCTTCTCTCTTGATTTTACGACCAAGTCGTCAACATAGCATTCCACATTCTTGTGGAGAAGATCGTCAAAAATATTCTGCATAGCCCTTTGGTGAGTAGCACCAGCGTTTTTCAAGCCAAAAGGCATTACCTTGTAGCAATAAATACCCTTGGGGGTACGGAATGCAGTAAGCTCTTCATCTTTTGGTGCCATGCAAATTTGGTTATAGCCTGATGAACCGTCCATAAATGACATTGCCTCGTACCAAGTAGTAGCATCGATCATCAATTCTGGAATGGGAAGCGGGAACTCATCTTTCGGACATGCATTGTTAAGATCCCTAAAGTCAACGCACACTCGAATCTGACCATTTTTCTTCCTTACAGGGACGATACTTGAAACCCATGTTGGGTATTTAACTTTACGAATAAAGCCAGCTTCGATGAGTTTGTTAGCTTCGGTTTCAATCAAGGGAACCAAGTCCGGCCTAAAACGCCTTTGAGCTTGTTTAACGGGGCGAGCACCATTACACTACAAGATTATGCATATACAGCTACGAAATACATTGTAGCTAAATATGAAAATTTCCGTGGCTAAACACTTTAGCCACAAAAAAAGTTTCCGTAGCATTCGTAGCAAAATGTAGCGTAGCTAAAAGTTAGCTTCGGACTTTACATGGTCCGTAGCTAAGGACTAGTACTTATTGCTACAATATTTTTGGTGTTGTAGCTACAATGATAAGAGTCTTTTGCCACGAAAAAATATACTCATAGCAAATTATTTCATTCTTTTGCCACGGCGAACAACATTTGTAGCTATCTTTATATTGTAGCCACGAGGTATTATCTTGTAGCAAAGGATATAACTTGTTTGCCACGTAAATTCAGATTTTGTGGCTACTTTTATGGTTTAATTTCGTGGCAATAATGGGTTTGTTTAGCTACAAATTTAAAAATCCATAGCTATGGGCTGAAGTTTTTGCATTAAACAACTTTTTTGTAGCTAAGATTTCACCTTTTTTACCATGAGATATATAGAATTGTAGCAAAAGATTTCATTTGCTACAAAAAGCGAAAATTTATAGCTATATTCTTTTTGGTTACAATTTTATAATATGTTTAGCTACAAATTCAAAAATTTCATAGCTACAAATTAAAGAATTTGCCACAAACATTGATAGCCACACAAATTTATGTAATGTAGCTAAGATTCAATGCTTTTTATATGTAGAGAACTATAGCAAAATATCTTCAATTGCTTTAATAAATGCAATATCAAATATGTAGAGAATTTTAGTTTGTTTTAAGAAATGCAATATATTAGCAAGACATAACTAAAGCCCCAAAAATATCATTCAAAATAAATTAAAATAGTAAAAGGTTGCTCTACTCAAACATATCATATACTTTTACAAAAGAGAACAAATAGTCACTCATGTCCCAATTGATCTGGATGCTTTCTCTGCTCCTCCATAAGCTGCAATAGCAATTCAAAAAATAATAATAACAAGAAAATGGTGGAATGAAGCATGTCCACATAAAACAACTAAAGTTTACTTGTCATATGAAGTTTTCCATAAAGAAATCACATATTTTTTAGAATTTAATTATATATAACAACAACAACTCAGTATAATTTTACAAGTGGAGTATGGGGAGGGTAATGTGTACGCATACCTTACCCCTACCATTGGGGTAGAGAGTTACTTAGTTGGATGAACAACAAACATCCTTCGAAATTTTTGTTCTCATTATATATCCAACTTTGCTAGCTTACAATCCAATCCTTTCTTGATTCTTCAACTTAAGAACCTCAAAGACCATCTAAAAAGTCAAGGAAATAATCATCTGATAATTTGAATGTACTACATATCAAAAATTATACTGTCAGCATGAATTTTGGGACACACTGAAATTTTAGAACTTGTAGACATCTCTCACAGAACTTTACATCTATACTTACTCAATATCATACGTAGAAGAGAGAATGGCATCAATGCAGTAGCACTAATATGCCTCCTGCTGTTGTTGTTTGGCAATGGAACTCGCTCGGAGCTCCAGCCTTTCTGAAATCCTCCAAAATGGTTATCTCCATATTCTGGTGTTGACGGACTAGTATATGTACCTGAATTCCTCAATGAAGTATTGTGTTTCCTCATGTTTCTTAGTTATGGTAAAGTGTAGGCCACATTATAGCTCCCCCATTTATCTGAATCTTGGACTTGTCTTCCTGTCCAGGTGGATCAGATATTTCAAATAGTATGAGATAATAAACCTTCAAACCTAAAACTACTTTGAGAAAGTCTTACAACGTCCTAGAGTCTGACCTGTTCAGTTCCATAAAATATTCAGATAATAAACCACAAAACCTAACTAGTTTGAAAAAATTTAAAGCGTTTGTGTCCAACATTAAGACATAGACATATTAATTCAAAGTTACACCTATATACCCAACATTATACCATATTCCCTACTTTTATCTTCGTGGAAAGTAAAGCAGTTCTGTGGAAATAAAGATACTAAGCTAAGCTCGTGGTCTCTTGAGTTGTGGTCATTTTTTTTGGAGTCCAGAGAACTTAGTCCACAGTCAGTACTCTAAAGCCAGGAACACCGAAAGGGTGGTGAAGGCCAATTACTGCAAATACAACAAACAACTACACCTCAATTCCTAGCAAGTAACCAAGTTGGCATAGGCTATATTAGAGGTGGCAAAATGGTTAAAAGAAAACAGTTATCCACACATATTTTCCATTAAAAAATTGGTTGGATAATGAACTTTTTTGCAACGGGTCGAATATGGATAAGAACCGAATTATCCACTTAGAAAATGGATGACCAGATGGATAACCAATGGATAACTAATGGATTAACTTTCACATTTGTAAAGACTCAAATTGGGAATTCCTCAAGTTTGGAAGACTAGAAATTCTCCCAAAAGTGATCATATTCAAGAAGTCATGGATAATATGGATATCCATATTATATGCCGGATAACCCATTTTTTATCCGTATTAAATATGGGTCGGGTCGGATAATATACCCGTTTTCTAAATTGCCTGTTTACGACCCCGCTCATATCCGACCTGCCCATTTGCCGCCCCTAGGCTATATGAATTACTCCGATATTATACCAAGTACAAATAAAAAGTAGTGCTAGAAGCTCTCCATAAACAGGTTTACAAATTTCTAGACTAAAAGATTCCTAGAAAACACAGGACCTAAAGTAAACGAATTAACATGACTTAATACAAACTAATGGTATCCTGATAATTGTAAGCAAGCTCACACAGCCGGAGTTAAAGGCAGATTACTGCGACTATCGGAGTTAATTCTATTCGAGTAAAGCAAGCTCACATAGCCGGAGTTAATTCTATTCGATCTATAGAACCAATCATTCCATGTCTATTTACCCAGGCTACTATTTTTCCAGTAAGAAAAGACTTTGACCTTCGTTCAATTTCTCCACATTCATAGTTTGAAATATAGAAGGCACATATTGTGGTAAAAAAAATAAAAGCTATAACGGGAAGATGGAAAACAGATAGTTTGCATCATGCCCCCTGCCTTGCTGTTAAACCAACTGTTGGATGGACTCAGACCAAGTAGAGCAGTTTCTGATTTCAAGAGATTTGATTGTTTTGCAATTAAAACTTTCTCATATTTTCATGGCTTATAAACCTGCAGCATTATATAGACTAAGAAAGAGCTAAAAACGACAATTTAGAGCTCAGACCATTAAAACAATACACTCAAGTAGTGCTCTAAGACACTCGATTATGACTTTCTAAAGGAAAATAGACGGCACACCTTTGACAAGCGAAGAAAAAGATCCACATTTAGATCTGGTTTGGTAACGCATTGTATAGATCTGGTCTTCAGGGATTTTATTTTACAGAAAACTAAAAAATAATGGAAACCCACAGTAACTCCTAGAACAATACACCATCAAACAATCCACGTGTATGCGATGAAACAAAATACATAACACCTACCCAGAAGATGAAAATTTTGAAGAGTTCCTTACCTTTGACCAGTCAGGTTTTTGGGCGGCGAGGAACTTAGATCGCAACGGTATAAATTTCATGCACCTTGTTGGTATGAACTGTACATTGAGTACTAAAACTGCCGCATTTGATGATTGTGACTTCCCGACCCGTCGTCTTATGAGCTACCGCTCCGTTTCCCCCATTTTATGCTTCTTCATGTTTCGTTATCGGTATTTGGTGTGTTAGAGTTGATTTGGATTGGTTTTGATAAGAAATGAGACACACTTTAAGGAAGGCTTGGTTTGGAAAAGTCAACCGGAGGTTGACTTATGAGTTATAGGGCTCGGATGTGATTTTCGGTGATTCGGTTAGCTTCGGGGGATGATTTGTGACTTAGGAGTGTGGTCGGAATTGATTTTGGAGGTCCGGTGTAGAATTAGGCTTGAATCGGCGAAGTTAGTGTTTTGGTGAATTCCGGTTGATAGGTGAGATTTTGATCCGAGGGTCGGAATGGAATTCCGAGAGTTGCAGTAGCTTTGTTAGGTGATTTGGGATGTGTGTGCAAAATTTCAGATGATTCGGAGGTGATTTGGTTTGGTTTTGATCGAATGCGAGTTTCGGAAGAATTTGAAGAACTTAGGCTTGGATTTGATGTAATTTGATGGTTTTAGTGTTAATCGTGGTGTTTCTATGATTGGAACAAGTTTGAATAACGTTTTAGGACGTATTGGAATTTTTGGTTGAGGTCCCGGGGGCCTCGGGGTGAGTTCGGATGGTTAAAAGGGGAGTTTTGGAATTTTTCATGTGCTAAGGCTGCTGCTTCTGGTATGTTTTCGCTTCTGCGGAATTTGGACCGCAGAAGCAGTATCGCTTATGCGATTGGGGAACCGCAGAAGCGGTTGGAGCTTGAGTTGGGTTTTCCGCAGAAGCGGATGTTTGGGCCGCAGAAGCGGTCCCGCTGGTGCGATTTCTGGGCCGCAGAAGCGGTCAAAGCCTTTAAGTGGAAAACCGCAGAATCGGTATAAAAGTCGCAGAAGCGGTCCCGCATAAGCGGAAACGGGACCGCATAAGCGAAAAAGAGCTGGGCAGAGAAGATTTTTAAAATAACATTTCATCCGCGAGCTAAGGGTATTTTCCTCCATTGTTGAACATCTTGAGAGCTTTTTGGGAGCAATTGAAGAGGGTTTCGACTGAGATTGACTGGAGGTAAGTTTTATGAGTTAAAAACATGATTATATGTGAAATTAACCTAGAAATTCATGGAAATTAAGCCTAAAATTGATGAACTAGGGCTTGGGATTTTGAGATGTTAAATTGGGATTTGATGGGTCATTTGAGCTCGAATTTGAGAGTTCTTGGTATGTATGAACTCGTGAGAAGATAAGGAATCCATTGATGTTAATTTTTTGACTTTTCGAGAAGTGGGCCCGGGGCTCGGGTTTTGCTAATTTCGAGATTTTTAATATTTTTCGATTGTTTTCGATTGGGTATTGTTCCCTTAGCATATTGTGATGTATTCGCTCTGATTTTGGTTAGGTTCGACGCGCGTGGAGGCCGATTTGATGGGGCAAGGGCGTCGCGAGCTAGAGATTTCACCGGTTCGAGGTGAGTAATGATTGTAAATGATATCCTGAGGGTTTGAAACCCCGGATTTGCACGCCGTAGTGCTATATTGAGGTGACTTGCACGCCGGATAACGAGCGTGGGGTAGAGCACCGTTGGGGATTGTGACTTGGTCCGTCCCGATTGTTGATTTTACCGCGTATTTGACTGAAACTTATTTGATATTATTATGACTTGGGCTGATTGCCATACTTGGGGCTTATTGCCGACTGTTTAAAATCCTTGTGAGCTATCATCACTGTTTTCCTCACTATTTAAAATATTATTTGAACTCAGTCCATTTGAATTATATTGTTTCATGAACTCAGCTATATTTTTACTCAACCTTGAGTTTTAACTGATGTTTGAACTATTGTTTGAGCTGAGCATTATTGTCTCTACTGATGCCTGAGGGGCTTATGATTATTTTTGGACTGATTGAGGCCGAGGGTCATATGTGAGGATATGTCGAGTGATGTGAGGAGGCTTTCAGGCCTCGAGTGATATGTGAGGAGGCTTTCAGGAGTCGAGTGTATTGTGAGAAGGCTTTCAGGCCTCATGTTGATATGTACAGGCTTTCAGGGCTTTCCGGAGTCTGCACCCCCACAGTGAGCGCGGGTACCCATCTAGAGCGGATAAATGTTAGACAGTGGTAACAATGGCACTGTTGTACGCGTTTTGGTCAGGTAACAATGACTGACTAGTCAGGTAACAATGACTGACCAGTGGTAACAATGGCACTGTAATACGCATTTTGGTCAGGTAACAATGGCTGACCGGTCAGGTAACAATGACTGACCAGGAATATAAATCATGCCCGAGGGGCCGGTACTGTTTTGAGATATTGCCCGAGGGGCAAACTTTTATGTGCTCATCTTGCATACGTATTTGCCTCTTTACCTGTTATACCGTGGTATTTGTGCCCGATGGGCGAATTTTCTGTGCGTATCAGCACTAACTGTTTTAAAATCGTTTTCATAATCACTGAAAAGATCATTTTTAAAAGAGATTTGAACTGAGCCAAGGTATTTCTAAAGATTTCACAGATTTCACTGTTTTTCTCAGAAAATTGCACCCGGCTTCTGTATGGCATGTTGGTTGCTTTACGTGATTTCTTGCTGCTTAGTTATTATTTACTTTTATTACTCACTGAGTTGGAGTACTCACTTTACTCCCCGCACCTCGCGTGCAGATGCAGGTATTGTTCACCCGGTAGTGGGTTTTGAGCTGGTTGAAGGTATTGCTATCGTAGCTGAGCAGAGTGACCGCCAGCGTTCGCGGCACCGGATTACTTCCTTTGGTTCTAAATTTTATTCCGTATATTGTTGGCCCTGTAGTTGTATTTAGACTTTTCTATATGCTCGTGACTTGTGACACCCCGGTCGGGCTGTGTTGGGTTGTAAACTTCGTTAATTAATGTCCTTAAGTCGTATTTTGCTATTCATTTATGTTTAACTACTTTGAAAGGGACTATTTGGGTTAGTTGGCTGGCCTTGTCTTCACGAGAGGCGCCATCACAACTAGTGCGGGGTTTTGGGTCGTGACAATGATGCAGCGGAAGCAGATAAAGAGAGAGTGCCTTTACTCCGATTTTGGGCTTTCTTTTGATATGTAGTGGAATGGTTATTTTTCTCCTCTAATCTCTCTAAATTAAGACTTTGATTTTTGCCAAAAAACATAGAGGGAAAAGTTTGGAGGGAAAACTTATTCTAAACTCATGATTACCTCCTAAAAATTAGTAGTAAAAAGAAACTATGTAATTAAAAATTATCTTAATATTAGTTATATTGTTAATTCAATTTAATACATCTAATTATATAATTATGCAATTAAAAATATAACTTGTCAACATAATAAGATATAAATATGTAGTAATTAAAGTAAAAATTTGAAATCACAAGTAATATTTGGCTTTTTGGGGAAATCATTAGAAAATCTATTTTCATGCATTAGAATTGGTTTATTTAGCATTTATTGATATCGATAAGTAAATTGTGACTAGATACAAGTGAATTGGAAGTGGAATCGAGGGGTAAAGCTATAGTTGAGGCTTAATTATGTTCGCGGCATTGAGGTAAGTGTTTGGCTTAACCTTAGCTTGAGGGAATAGGAGTTATGGTCAATTTGCTATGTGTTTGTATCGAGTACGACGTATAGGTGTGGTGACGAGTATCTATGCGTTGGTGTTAAGCATTCCCGTGAGTCTTGTACTATGATTGTTGTGACTCTATTATGTATCGATCATGCTCAAATTGATGATTATTAATGTTGAACAAAGCTTATGAAAGTTTCTTGGTTATTGACTATTGTTGAGTATTGACTCAAACTGAAGTTCCATTTTTGTAAGAGATTGTTGAAACGAGATTGGTTATAGCTGAATCCCTTGCCGGGACATTTGTTGATATTGTTGATTCCCTTGCCGGGATATTATTGTTGATATTGTTGATTCCCTTGTGGGGACATATTGTTTTCTGTTGTTTGGGTGAGGAAGAGTGTAAAGCACGAAGGGTGATGTCGTGCATGTTATTGTGAGAGAGTGTAAAGCACGAAGGGAGATGCCGTGCCTATATTGTGAGGAATAATACACAAAGGGTGATACCGTGCCATGATTATGTGAGGTAATGCACGAAGGGTGATGCCGTGCCGATTTTATTTATTTATTTATGGTGAGGACGAGAGTAAAAGAACGAAGGGTGATGCCGTGCATGTGTTACCGTTTCATTTTTCTTGTTGCTTTATATATGATGTTCATTGTGTTTCCTTAATGATGTTTCCGTATTGACTTACTGTTAGAACCTGATATTTCCCCGCAGCATGTCCCCTTCCCTCTTTATTCTATTAATTTCTGTTGTTATGTTTCTGCTTGTATATGATTGAACTGCACAGGTATATATGGTTGCCGTGTCCTAGCTTCGTCACTACTTCACCGAGGTTAGGCTCGACGCTTACTCAGTACATGGGGTCGGTTGTACTGATACTACACTCTGCACTCTTTTGTGCAGATTTCGGTACCGAACCCAGTGAGTAGCAGAGGTAGCTGCCTTCAATTCAGGGAGACTCAGGTAGATCTGCTGGCGTCCGCAGAGCCTAAAGTCCCCCTTTTCTGTTTAGTTTTTATGTTGTCTCTTTTCATTCCGAGAACTAGGGGTGTTCATGGTTCGGTTTGGATCGGTTTTTCCCTAAAAAGAACCAAACCAAGTAAGTCGGTTTTTCAAATATTAGAACCAAACCAAACCAATTAAGTCGGTTTTTTCTCCATTCGGTTTATGTCGGGTTTTGTCGGGTTTTTGGTTTTTTCGGTTATTTGTCGGTTTTTTCTTAAATATAAGACATACACTACCAAACACATATTCTGGCGATCACAATTTCAACGTAACACTATCAAATCAATTGTCCTTTGAGAAATCTATTATTTACCAAGATATATTGATGATAATTGAATTAAATAGTGATGAATAATTTAAGGACTCAATTAAAAATATATTATTTTTAACACGAAATGGATTCTTACACTTAACAAAAGAAAACTACCAATCAAATTAGAATGTAAAGGTAAAGAACTATACTAAAAGTGCAAACTATTAACATTTACCATAAAATTTTTGAAACTTTGTAT